CAGTCTTGAGATCTGTCTCAGATCTGTCTTTCCTTCCCTTGCCGTGCCCGCTGCCCTGATCCCAGCAGCAGCCTCCCAGGTGGGCTGCCCAGGTCAGGTTCTTCCATCTGAATTCTGTTCTACACACCACTGACCACCTTATTCTTACCAAGCTAGACTAACTCCTCTATTTGCCTTTGAAATTCTACAAAATCTGCACCAATATACCTGTATTCTCACCCAAAATAAGAATGAATATTTCTTGAGTGCTAGTTTCTTGCATAGAACTGTTTTAAGCACTTTACTTAAATTAGCTCATTCAATCTTCCCCATGGCCTCATGAAGTAGGTTCATTCTTTTAAAATTTGACAAGTGGGAAAACTGAGATATAGAGAAGTTCAGTAACTAGCCCACCCCCATATGGCTCATAAGTGGCAGAGCCCCATATGAACTCCCGCAGTCCAGCTGCAGAAGCACAACTCCGCAGCCACCACCCTGTGTGCCTCCGCAATCCTCCTGCCTCGTTCTACTTTCTCAGGAAGCCTTCCCAGCCTGGAATGCCCTCCCTCCCCTGGCTCATTCCTCTGCAAGTGGGGAATGAGCTTGACCAGACCTGGGAGGCTCTAGGAAGCCCTGCTAAGGAATTCAGACTTTGTCCTGGGGGCAATAGGGAGCCAGTAGTGGATTTAGGAAGGTGCCTGATGGGATTAGATTTGTGCCGTTGATAGCTCTTTCCACAGAAAGAGTGAAAAATAGATTGGGTTAAGTTTGACAAAATCAGAGAAGGATAGAGAATAAGGCTAATACAGCACGTAAATGAATACATTAATTGCGTTCTCACAACCCTATAAGGTCAGTACATTGCTCTCATCATCTCTACTTAATAAATGAGGAAATTCATTTAAGGCACAGAGAGATCAAGGAATTTGCCCAATCTTACCTAGTTAGAAAGTGGTAGGACCAAGATTGGAGCTTAAACCGTTTATTCCTAAAGTAATATTTCCAAAGTGAGCCTTACTGCTTCTCCTGAGCATTTCTATGCTATGCTCTAAACTTTTCTCTGTGCTCACAATATTCCATAATTGTTTTTAAATGGACCAGAAGGGGGCAGATTAAATGCAGAGAACCTGTGAGGAGGCTGATGCAGGTGAGCTCCTAGGGGAGCCCTCGGGGTGTCCTGAACTGAGGCGGAGGCAGGGAAGGTGCAGACAAGTGGACAGATTTGAGGATGATCCAGGAAGGAGACTCCACAGGAACTGGTGCTGGATGAGGTGTGAGGAATAAGGGAGAAAGAAGAACCAAGAATCAATGCCAGCGCTCAGGCTCAAAAACCACATGCCACTCTCAGCTGTCGTCGCCTCATATAGGCATTAGCACAGCAGCCTCCTGGCCCGGCTGCCTCGCTCCCAGTGTCTCAACCTAAACCCTGTTCTGCACACAACTGACAGCTTTGTCTTTACCAAATGAAGAGTCAACTAGGAATATTTACAAAGCATCCTATTATTTTTCTTTTTAACAGAAACCTAAGTTACTAGGAGGCATGTGTCATGTGCTAGGCATAGTGCTAGGAATTAGACACCTGGATGGAGGGATGAATAAAGGTGCATCAAAAGACACATCTCAAAAAAAATCTGCTCCACTGACAGCCTGGAAGGTCAGCGGGAGACATGGCTGCCTACTGATGATTCGAAGGGGAAAGGAGTTCCCTTTGCCCCCAAACATCCCTGTTGATGCCTGAAATCCACCTCTGAGAGTCCACAGCCCTCCATAGCCCATAGTCCATAGCCCAATGGGAGATCCTGGATCTCATGTAAGCAGACATTCTAAGTTTTCATTTGAGGAAACTGGATCCAGGGAGATTATGTGATTTGTCCAGCATCACACAGCTTGTTACTGGACCCAGATGTAGAGTCCCACAATTCCCCTGATGTCTCTCTCTCTCTCTCGAATCTTCTTTGATAATGGAACTACTGGAGGGAAGGAGAGGCAATACTTTGACATTCCCAGGACCTTGGAGTGAATTCCTGAGAGGGTTTCCTCTGTTCCTAAAAGAGAGATTACACAGGAAGCTTTGCTTAAGAGGCCACTGATATTTCACCGTGAAAATTCCTTTCTCCACAGCAAGCAGCAGGGATTGTGCTCCTGGTTCTTCTCCAGGTTGCAAATGGACATCGTCCTCAGGGACATCATTGATGCTTCTGCTCAACCGTTTGGGGAACAGTCTGTAGACTCTTTTAAACATCCAGGGGTCCAACTATGCCTTTGGTCAAGCAGATGGGCCCCAAGTCATTGAATCATAAATCTTTAGCAAGAGGGATCTCTATCTAGTCGGGCTCCCTGCCTAGAGATAAGATTTTATTATCCCTAACTTTACAGATAAGGGCCTGAATCCCAGCGAGGTTAACCGACTTGCCCAAGGTCATATTGCTGGTAATTAGAACAGTCACTTAAGGCTATTACCTACTTAGAATCCTAGTGGTATAGAATGTCAGTGCTGAAAGTGATCTTATAAATACAGTGACCATATTTTCAGAATCCAAAACTAGGACATTTAGCCTGACAAACCCAAGTGCACTTATAGGGACAGAAAATGGATTATTTGAATTGGTGCTGCCCCAGAAAAAGAGATTTATGGCTGTGGTTCTTAGAGATCATCCAATCCAATCTCCCTTACTTCGTCATTGAGGCAACCGAAGGCCAGCGAGGCTAAATGCCTTGCCGGAGGTCGTAGGCAGAAATGTTTTCTGTTTTCTCAACTCTGAAGGTTGAGTCAACAGGGTGTGGGTGGGGGAGGACAAGAAGGGGCCATTGTTCCAGCCTGCTTTTCCTCAAGCGGACTGACCTAACCCCACAGTGCCTGCTTTAATCCAGATTGGGTGCGATTGTCCCCCAAACCCCAGAGAAGTCACGTTTGAAGCCGGATAAAGCTCAGGGTCTTGAGGTCTTGCTGGCCTGGGCAGCGAGGCAAAAGGACTCAGGGGGACTCAGAGCACTGCTCCAATAGGAGGGTCGCATTCTGTGGAAAGTAGATGTTATTTTCTAGGGTTTTCTTTTTCTTCCCTCTCCCAGAAACAGGACATTAAAAATGACAAGATATTAGCTAATGACCCCTCTGGCTTTCTAAATTCTAGTATAAATTAAGGAAACAAGTCGAACTGACAAGTACTTAATAAGGATCTACGTAAGCCTTGCAATGAGCTAGTCACTATAAATATTTATTACTCAATCTTCGATTTGCCCCTAACCCTTGCTTCATGTACTGTTTGACCTCATTTTATACTTAGTAAGAGAAAAGAAGAGAGATGAAAGAATCAGGTCAAGGGCTCAGGTGAGTGCACTTCCAGCCACGTCCTTTGGCCTGGAGGCCTCCAGTCTCTGGATCAACACTCCTTCCTGTATTAAAAAGTGCATTTCATCGTGTCCTGTCAACACTGCAGCTTTCCAGATCAGGACTCTAAGCAGCAGATGGATTCCTTCCGACTGTCAGCCCAACCTCTCCTCTATGCAAATGCAGACCCACTCTGCTGACAGAGAAATTGCTTCCCGGAAAACCAATTTCCTTCTTATTGTCCTACAGGCTGCTGTGAGACACTCTGCTGTGTGGGGTGGGCTCCCACCCTGCTTATTCCACCAAGAGAGTGAAATTGCAGAGGACGTGTTGCTGAGATGGCGATTTAGAATAAACGTTCGAATGGGAGTTGTGTTCCCACGTCCCTGGTTTAGAAATTGTGTGCCTGGTGCTTATTTTCCATTGGTCTGGTTGCTCTGCACCCTTTAAGGGCCCGGAGCTAGTGTTCTCGAAGCCTTCCTGCCCACTATTGTTGGAATTCAACAAGTATTTCATTCATTACCTCGTTCATTCATTTCCTCTAAATTCGTTTCCAAAGAACCGTAACCTGCCATTCAAGCCCACCCTCTATTCCGCTGGCAGGGAATCAAGACGCAACGTGAATGGCCAGACTCCACAATGTGCTCCCCAATGCTCTGTCCAAACTAGGGCATTTTCTATATCCACCCTTCACCCCAACCTTCAATCCAGCCTTGGACAAAAGTAAATGACAGCGAACTTGAGAAGAGCTAATAAAAACCTGATCTCCCCGATAGCATCTTCTTTAATTATTTAAAGAAAGGCACAGCCTGTTTAAAAACCCTTCCTGTTCCAGTTCTTTTGTTAAAACTCTTAGAGTCAGTGACATGTCATTGAGCTGAGAGTAGGAAGGGGCTGGCACTGCTGAGGGGGTACAGCTTTCTGGATGTAAAAAGAAGGGTGATGCAAAAGACCGTTCATTTACAAGAAAGTTATGCACACATTTTCTTTGCCAATCAAAAATGTCAAATGTCAGAAAAGACAGCTATACATTTTAAAGAGCAGATTTGAGAAGGCCAAGAGAACAATCAAGTGTAACGTCTATAGGAACTTGCTGGTGCCTATGGATATGGTCTAGTGAGCGTGAGCTTGGAAGGCAGCTGTAAGGACTGTCTCTATCACTTACTGGTTGTGTGACCTGGGATGAGTTATTTAACTTTTCTAACCTTCAGTTTCCTCATCTGTAAAGTAGACGTCATAATAGTTACCATCTAGAGGTGATCTGAGGCTGCAATGGGAATGGGGGAAGCATGTAAGAATTTAGAGAGTACCTGATACCTTGTAAATACACAATAAATGTTATCTTAAAAATGAATAGGGCACTCAATGAGTTGAGAAGAAAGTCAATAGAGTGACTAACTGGACTGTTCTAACATTGTTTCTGGTGGCTTTATTTCCTTGCCGGACTTTATACTCTGGAACATGCATTTGAATTTCTCAGACAAATTTAATAAATATGTACTTAATTAGGATTAGACACTACATTTAGTGGAAGCTCCGGGTCTTTTAATTAGAGATCACAAAACGGTAATTCACATGGAAGCTGGACCCTGGGAGAGAGAAACGAAAAGTGCAGGCAGAGCTGTGGTGTCTGCTCACACACTTCCTTAGCGACTCTGAGGAGTTTTGGAATCAGTTGCTGTTCCTTTCTTGAAAGAGGAAGTACCGAGCAGAGAGCATAGAGGGGAGGGATGATGGAGATGGGTGCAGATTGTGGCATCAGTAACAGAAGAATAAACTCAGAGAGAACAAAACAGAAACAAGCCTGCTCTACCCAGCAGCCGCCTCTGTGAGTGTCCTGCCTGTCTCTTTCCTGAGCCTCTGTGTGCAGTAGACTAAGGTCAGCAACGTTTACAAAAGCACCTGCCTGGGCAAGGCAACGTCCAGGTATTGTGGAAAATGACAGCAAGGTTAATTTTATTTAATAACACCTGGACAGAGCTTACCATGTTCTAACCACCTTTCTAAGAACGTTATAAATATGAACTTGGCTAATCTTTAGAACAACTCAGTTAGATGGGTATTTATTATCCCTATTTTACAGCTGAGGAAACTTAAGCCTGATCATAATAGCTACTTTTTATTGTCTGTACGATGTGGCAGGGTTTTGATGTATCTTAAACATAGTCCCCAGAGCCCTGTAAAGTAGTTATTATTATTTGTCCTTACATATGAGGAAACTGAAGTTCATGGCACTTGGATGACTAACTCAGTCACGCAGATGCTAAGTGGTCTCATTCCACTGTCGCACAGCCTCCTGGCTCTCCAAGATGCGCTCTCTATGCTCAGGAGGCTTAGATGACATGAGGGACAACCGTGCCTTGAAAGTGCAGCAAGAATTTTGTCCGTCCTATCCTTCCTTCCCTCTCCCATCTTCACCACGTCATAGGATGGAAGCTCCGGTCTTGCTGTGGGTGGGATGGAAATAATCAACCTTCAGAAAAACTTGAAGTGAGACCCTGTCTCCCCCCCAGAAAAGTGCCCTCCATCCTGGAGGTTTAATGACAAACTTTGACATTCCATTCTGATGCTGCCCTTAACTCCCCACCCCTCCAGCTTTCTCTGCCCTTGCTCTTCCTTTATCTCTGAGTCCATATGATTAAAAATAATCATCACTGGGAAGGAAGGGAATCTCAATGAGGCCAGAGAGGCTGGTGGAGAGGGATGGCCGGGGAGGGTGAGAAGGGTGAGGAGCCAGGGCCCGGGTGCTGGGGCTCAGGGACCTTGGTCCCTGGAAGTCCCACCTCGTGGAGTGAGGCCACAGCCCAGCTCTCTGAGCTAGCTGCAGCGTGGTTTCCAGAGACCGTGCCTCGGACTCGGACCAGCAGGTCCTCTCTTCAGGGTCAGGAAACTCTGCAATTGCAGAGCAGGCAGGGCAAAAGGATGGCAAGAGCCTGTGAGCTGGGCAGTGGAACCGCCTCGCCCACTCTCTTCCTCTCTGCAGTAACCAGCAGTGCCAGTCTTTCGCTGCTTTGAAGCCTTGCCCTTTGTGTTCAGAAGGGGCTGAGGCAAACCTGGCAGAGCAGGTTAGTGCTGGGCGGAGCCCTGAGACTGCCCTGAGCCCGGGCACTTGTTACCTGGACAGGCCAGAGAGAGCAGCTATGGATCACATCTGACCTGCTGTCTACACTCCCCTCCCCCAGCAGAGGGGCTCGGGTTATTCGGGTGGGGCTGGGAGAGGGATACTCTTAGCCAATGCTTGGGGAGGGTGAATTCAGATGGTGGGAAAGAAGACAGCACACAGCAGCAGGTGGGGAGTGAGCAGGGAGTAACCAGTCTGGGACAATTGCCTGGAATAAACACTATTGTCTGCCACAGGCTTCTCTGTGCCAGCCTGGGCCTGCTGGGCTGACCGCCTTTAAAGGGCCAGTGGCTGTGCTGACAGAGGCAAGCTGAGATCAGTCCTGGAGCAGCAGATCACAGCAATGAACCTGAGGTTCGTCACAGGATAGGAAGGCAGGAGCTTGTGGGAGGAGGAGCAGGTCAGGACACGGGAAGTAAGTCAGAAGGTAGAGAATGGTCCAGGATGAAGGCTGGGAATAAGACTAGGTGACAGTTCTTCTGCCCAAGGCTGGCTGCCTGGCGCCATCTCCGATTGTTCAGTTTAAAAGAACAAGGCCTGACCAGAACCCAGAGCCCCTCTCCAGATATTGGGGGCTGAATTCGCTGTACACCTGCTGCTCTCTCAGACCCTGGAATTCAGGTGGTCCCAGCAGCCACCCGGGCTCACTTTGTCCCTGTGATTCCGTCCATTTTTTTACCCACCTCCCAAGTGTTCTTCTCTTTCACAGGAAGCTCCTACTATTATTATCATCATTCCTCTGAAACCAAAATCATGAAGATAGAAAGACTTATACATATTAAAATGCACACCTTACCCTCACTTTACCCATAGTGATGTAATCCATCTCCTGTTTTCTAGGGGAAGATTTACGGCCTCCTTTTTCTCCCTTTAGACGCTAGGTGTTGGGAAGGTATTACCTGGATTAAAGGCCCATCCACAAGGTGCTATGGTTACCTAGAAACAGACCTGTAGGAAATGTGCCATCCAGATCCAAATAGGACGGTCAGGTCTCCTGGGAAACAGGCCCCACCCATCCTGGCCCCTGAGGATCTCCTCTAGCAAAGCCTTTTTCTTGGCCACCATCGGAATTAGGTGGCAATCCATCTGGAGGAAAGAGGGGTGTTCTCTAAGGGGGAACCAAGGAGGTGGATTTGTATTGAAAGAAAGAGAGAGACAGAGAAAGAAAGAAAAAGAGAGGAAGAGAAAGAAAGAAAGAGCAAAAGGGGAAAGAAAGGAGACATGGGGAAGAAGGAGTAAGAAAGCAGTAGTAGCAGCAGTGCCACATGATTCTCACCTGTCTACCTGTTTTCAAGCTGCCGCTTCCACCTGAGAGTTAGTGTAGATGAAAAGGAACTAAGTAGGGCAGAAGAAAAGCTCGGGGGAGGAGGGGAACATGGTGGGAGCAGAGGGGTTATACTCCCTTTTACGTATTTCCCAGCCAAAGACCAATCGGTAAAACCCCTTCTGATTCCTTTTTATATATTGGAAAACGTGTATGACTTGCTCTGCTGTCCTAGCATTTCAGCTTCTTCTTTCCATTTACTCATGTGACATCAAGCCATCATGCGAAAGGCAGCCTGAATGTATATTTGTATTTTCTTTGAAGGCAGGGGCCCACCTGCCCGGCCTAATAGCATTGCATGCAAGCAATTAATAAGCATCTCTAACTTGAAGACTTGCCCTGCTCCCTGGGCTCCTGTACTTTGGTTTCACAGTAGCCTCTGTTATGACACTCCCTGGCAGAGGTTCAAAATCACCGTTACCATGTCTAATCTGGAAGCTAGTGACAGAAGGAGCAGCAAGTTTCCTCATTAAATCTTTTTGCAGTTTTCCACCTCCCAATGTAGGGGACCACCAGTACAGGGGCCGGCACTAAGACACTCAGGGAAAAGCAACTTCAGAGTTTTGCCAGAATTTCTAGCAGAAGCCGCCTCCTAAAGGACCTACATGCGAACCATTGCACTGAAGTATTGCACTAAAAGGGGAAGCTAAATATGGTGTCTGATGCCTGAAAAGCCTTTTGGAAAAGATTTGTTGCCAGAAATGGGACTTTCCTTGAGGATAGACTCAGCCAGTCAGAGAGTTTTCTAATGATGTAATGCTCTGCAAACAAGTTTTATTGGTGGGAAAGCTCTTAGGTGTTGTGAGGGTGTAGAGTTTCCAGTGCGGCTCAGGGAAAATCGTCTGTGGCTTCGTTTAAGGTTCTACTGGATTCCATTGTGCTTATATTTCCAACCAAGCTGAGCTTATATTTGGCACTTGTTAAAAGTTGGGAAATCAAGAAACTTTCTTTTCCTCTGATGTCAAAAACTGCTGATTCCTCAATGGCTGCTGTTTTCCTGTACATTTCTTCCGCAGAGGCCTTAGGAAGGTGACCAGCACAGCATCAGTACACGACAGGCAGTAGGAAATGATGCCACCACAGGTCAGGGTGTAGAAAGGAATCTTCTGGGTGGAAAGGCCGTTAGAGAGCAGTGCATACATATATTGCCATCTGATGAATTCACAGGCACACGTGTGCCTTAAGTCCGTGCTGCAGAGAGATGTGGCACTAAAAATAGCTCAGAGCTTATTTCCCTCCTTCTGAATGTGTCGTCCCCAGCTCTCGTGCCTTTCCTCCCCCAGACAGAGCCCCTGCTGTCTGCCAGTCTGGCTGGAATTAGCACACCGATGTCTGTGCAACTCAGTGTCACCGCCACAGGAGGCTGATGGGGATGCAGTTTAGCTCCGGCTGCAGGTGAGTCCCTTGGTTACCTGCATCCAGGAGGCTGGTAGCACCCACCCTTAACCTCATATTAAAAGGATGTCACTGACTGACTCATTCCCTCTGTTATTTCAGACAGCAGGCTGTTCCTGCCCCCATCACCTCTCCACCACACCACAGCCTTTCCCTCTGGATAATCGGCTCCACCCTCACCTCATCCAGGAAGCCTCAGAGGAGCTCCACCTTGCTTCGATCTATCAAACCCTTCAGTCAGTTCCTGTCTCCCAGCTTTTATCTTTGCCACCCCTCTTCCTAAATATGTGACACTTAATTATGACTGTCTCAAACTGTGTGAGTGACTCATGAAAATGTTTATGTATTTCTAGCTTCTATGTACTTACTGTATTTACTTCCCCCGCCCGTAACATAGTAGATTCAGCACTGGGCTTGGACTTGAATGCCCCGGGAATAAAAATCGGGATAATAATAATTATATTGCAGGGCTTTTTAAAAATGAGCTGATATGTAAGTGGCACAGAGTGGGAGCTTGGTAAATATTAGTTGAATCTGAATCCTAGAATGTAAATTCTTCAGACATTCTCTTTCTCCGATATATATTTTCCCATTTCTCCCAGCGCCTAGTCCCTTTGAGGATAGGGACATTTAATAAATGCCATCTGACACGTCTTGTCTTGATTTTTAGGATATCTTTTGGATCAGGAAAATGGGTAATTTGGGGCATCCACAAATTACAATGACAATGAGATAACACCATTTGACAATTAAGCACAGGCCTCCTATTGTCCCCATAGTTTGGAAGTGGGAGAGTAAACTACTTTCAGCGGCATATTCAGGACCAATGTAAGCAAATCTGCAAAGAGTACATTGTGATGCTCGTAACTGTCACTGCAAAGAACCTTTCTCCAACTATTTCCTCTTACTCTTCTGACCTGTTCTTAATGTCAGCTGACATCCAGCTAATTAATTCCTATAGAGGTGTTAACAGATACGGCATGACTGATAAGGCATTAGCTGATAAAGGCTTAAGGACCCAGCCTGACTTGCTTTGCCAGCCCTCCTATCACATCGGCAAAGCGGCTTCCAAAACACAGAAACCCTTTGCAGTCCCAAGGGAAATATTTCACTTGGGATCATAGAGGACGTGAGGCAGTGAGGAGTACCGATCATCCCTACGGCCAGTGATGGTGTGGAAGCTCAGATGCGGAGGGAGTTTTCTTGGTCAAGAACGTAGGCTGAACCTGACCCCTCGGGTCCTTACTGGCATCTCTTAATCTGCTGCCAGGGGGCCAAACCACACGGACTCAGTCTACTGGGCTTCTCTCAGCCTCTCAAAAACTGTATTCTCAGCAGCTTCTGGAAGGGTTACTTTCAAAAATCTGACCATTCCAGAAGATCCCCGCCTACGCCTCTTATTCCCTGACTACCAGGCAGGGGCACTTCTTCTGAAAGGCTCCCCGGTCTTGCTGTACATAGTTCTTATTCCAGCCAGCAGGGCACTTGTATGACCCTGAGAGTGAGCACCCCTTTAAATTTTACACCCTAGGCACCTCATCTGTGTCACCCTAATCCAAGCTTGCAAAGTTGCTAGATGGGTAGATACGCACACACTCCTCATTTTTCAATTACCTTGAGACATTTAAAACACATCCCTTCTCACTGGTTTATTTGGTCCTCCGTAGAACCATATTAGAATCCAGGGTCTTGAAGTCCTAATTCTCTGCACCATGCTGTCCCCGAACACTCAAACCCAAGCATCCACGCTCCAGAAATGTACTTAGCTAAAAGGATAAAAAGTTCAAACTTTTATTTAAAATGTTCTCTCTGTTTTAAAATATCTTTCAAGGAGACAAAACATGGGATTTGGGGTTTTCACCCACAGTGCTCTAAACCGATAACAATAGCTTGATAATTAATGATAATGTGGTCAGTCTAGGTGTTTTCTCCCATCCTACTTCTCTGTGTCAGTAACTGCTGATACCTACCCACCTGGACATTGCTACGGCCCGTAGGAAAGGGTGGGTGGAAGAGCCACGTAGCTCTTTACAAGGCTATCTTGGAAAAGCCTTTCTGGACTGATGTCCAAGTTCTGTTAGGAGATCTGAGTCCGGCCTCACCAAAACTGCATCAGGCACTGATGCCTTCTGTCCGTAGGCTCAACTCTATTCCATTCCCAAGCCAATGCAGACCAAGTTGGGCAAGAGAGAAACTGCCTCACTTGTCGATCTTTCTGTCCTAGTTCTGGTATTCACTCTACCAGAGGTGAGGCCCCGTAACCATATGCCCGCAAAGCTGTAATCTCTCTTCCTCCTTTATCCTTGCCCACCATGACTATTTTCCTCGTTTTTCTCATTTGTATTCCAGTTCTCCTTCTGGAGTGACACCTGTTGTGAAGCCCTGTCCCTTAGTAGGACCCCAGTCACAGTATCTCTTGCCAGAACCTTTTGAGGAACTGAACTCAGCTCTCACTATACCCAGCTACTTGCTGGGGTCCTGATCCAACCATTCAGATCACTTGGAATAACTGCTGCCTTCCTGATGTCAACCATCCGTCTCCACTATGTCTCCGCAGCTTGCCTGATTCTATGTCTGGAATGAAGCCAGGTTCAGCCTTAAGTTTTCCTCAAAACTCTTCTCCCTAATTGAGACTGCAGGCTCTCCTTGTGGGCAATGGTACTGCTGAGTTGGTTTCTGTTGTCTGTCTTGCCCATGGCCATTTAAATCAAACTGACTACACATCACAGCCAGCAGTTTCTTGAGAGAAAGACTCAAATGATAGCACACATTTGAAGCAACTTGCTCAAATCTCACTTTCATCTCCACCCCACCTTCCTGGCTTTCTACTCTGACTTAAATCCTGCCTTTGGCACTGCCCAAATATGGCAGTCTTCCTAACTTTTTCCATCCTATTTGGACCTGGCTCTCCTCCCCAGCTTCTGGCCAGCTCATCCTTCTGCCTGGTATTCCCACTGTCTCAGGGGAGAAGTCCATGTTGCATGTCTTTTCCTCATTCCTTTTTCTGTCCAGTCCTTTCATGTCTCAGTCTTGTCTTCCCTCTCTCCGCTCCAACTATGATTGAGGCTTACCTTTATGCACTGAAGAGCTAGGAGGGAGAAGAGAACACCTTTCATCTCAGCCTTATCCTTTCCCAATTTCCTCTCCCTTCCTCACAGACATGTCCATTGTTGACCACTTTAAAAACTGTAGCAAGCTTGCAACCATATATTCTGTCATGTGTGTATTTTTAAAAATCAGTCCTAAAGTCAGTTATTTACTTGTCATACTATAAATTTTGATTCTTGCATGAGAAAAATAATCATCACATACGTATGTGGCAGACAGTGCAGTGGTCACCAGATATCGCATATACTCCCCCTGACTTCCTGGCCTTAGAGTTAGGTGAGGGCTCCGTGTGGGTTCTGATCAATACACTGTTCACGAAAGTGTCTTCTCCATGCCTCTTTTCCCCAGCAGTGACCGTGACAGGCACATGTTGAGAGGAATCCCAGAGCCATTCGATGGAGAGGTGTTCCTGCTGACTCATGTTGGATTTTACGTGACTAAGAAATACACCTTTGGTGTGTGAAGTCACTGAGATTTTCGAGTTGTTTGTCATCACAGCACAGCTTAACATGACTCTGACTAATGCACTATAGAAACCTTAACCACATGTGGGAATTTATTCTGGCTTCTGCCACCACCCAAGAAGTGCTTTTTAAATAACTTGAAATTTATGCAAATCACATGTGTTTATTATGGAAAATTATAAAATTCAAATAACAAAAGAGAAGAAAGTAAAAATCATCTATAATCCTGTTAGCCAGAGATAAGCACTGTTAGCATTTTCGTGTCTATACTTCATGTATTTTTCGAAGTACAGAATTATATATTTACATATTGTTCTGGAATCTACCTTGTGTGTGTGTGAGTGAGGAGCTTTGCACAGAGCTAACATCCAGGACAAACTTCCTCTCCTTTGTATGTGGGATGAGTGAAGTGGGTCCACACCCGGGATCTGGACTCACAAACCAAGGCCGCCAAAGTGGAGCGTGTGGAACTTTAACCACTATGCCACCTGGCTGGCCCCAGAATCTACTTTCTTATTTGAAAAAATACCCTGTTCAATTCCCCAAAGCAATAAATATTATTGTAGAGCACAGTCTTTAATCATTGCATAGCATTGCATTATGACTGTATTATAATTTACACGCTGTTGGGAGAGTCTATCTTCTTCTACTGAAACGGCTTCAGTAACATTTCTGCTCCTTTTTTACATATTTTATCCTTTACTTCCCCCCACTCACAGGTTGACTCTTAATCATCTACATTCATAGAATGTAAATGAGACTATCCCAAAATAATTAAAGCAGGGCCAGCCCTGTGGCTGACTGGTTAGGTTTGTGTTCTCTGTTTCGGTGGCCCGGGGTTTGCCAGTTTGGATCGTGGGCGTGGACCCAGCACCGCTCATCAGGCCATGCTGAGGCAGCGTCCCACATAGCACAACCAGGAGGACCTACAACTAGAATATACAACTATGTACTGGGGGTTTGGGGAAGGAAAAAAATAAAAGAGGAAGATTGGCAACAGATGTTAGCTCAGGTCCAATCTTCCCTTCCCCCCCGACAAATTAAAGTGGCCATGAAATTCCTGAGGTGATATTTTTGGATGGGAAAGAAAGAAGTAAAATGTATTCATCCTCCTAATTATTATCATTGTAATTATTATTCTCATTTGCTTGGGAAATCTTAGTTTTTATTCTCTGAGTAGTAATAACTGAATTGGAGGGGGCAGAGGGGATGTCAGGATGGGTACAAGAAGAAGCTGTCTGAGTTAGGATTAGGTGTGGCTGGAAGAAACGAAAACAAGCTCAAACTAACAGAAGCTTAAACAAGCAGCAGTTTATTTCACTCTCATATGAAAGTCTGGAGATGGGTATTCCCATATGGTACTCCATGAAGTGTCAGAAGCCCAGATTTTTTCTACTTGTTGCCCTGAGCATTTTTTCCAATCCCAAGCTCATCTCACAAGGTCCAAACGGCTGCTTTAACTCTAGCAATCACATCTACATTCCATCCAGATGAGAGGATATAATGAAGGAGAAGAAAATATCACTCTTTTAAAATGCTTTTTTAGAGAAATTGAACATACCATATCTGCTTAGTCACTTGCCCACTTACTGATGCAAGGGAGGCTGGGAAATGTAGTCTTTATCTTCAGCGTGCATGTGCCTAGATAAAAATCAAGGATGCTATTGCTACAGAAGAAGCAGAGAATGGATATTGAGGGACCACCAGATATCTCAGTCATAAGAACCACCAGGTGACTAATAAATGTCAAAATTTTTCAAAAGTAAATAATCCAATCCCAGGCAGTTTAATTGAATGTAAGTATAAAACTCCCTCAGGCCCTCATGGAGGAGGATCCATCGATCACATCAATAATCAGATGCAATCAAACTCTCGTAATGAACAGATGGGCTAAGTAAACACGTATTCTATGCTTTAATCCCTGCTGGACTTCTGAAATTAGCCACTCCTTTGGAATGAGCATGTGCCAGGGGAGAGAGCAGCAGACAGTCCCCTGAGCATCTTAATTAGCACCTGATTTCATCAGAATGGTGCGATATAATACATCAGGAGTTGAAAGCTGCAGATTCTGTGGCACACATAGGTTGAATTCCTAAATCTCTCAGATGAAGGAAGTGAGAAGAGTAGGTTATATATAGGAGGAGAAAGCCAGTCACCTTCACACTCCTGTGTCTTTGCTTTGTCACTTCAACTGTGTAGAATCCCTCATCCCTTCTCTACATGAAGAAATTCTGTTCTTCTTTCTTGTT